GGTTCATTATAGTAGATTGACGTGTTAGCAGCACTAACTGTGTATCGGTATAGCAGATCACTGTTGATAATGGTTCATTAGTTGGCCATGTTAGCAGCACTAATCGTGTGTCAGTATGGCACATCACTAGAGAGTTCATTAGATTGCTACGTTAGGAAGTAAGGAGCAACAATTGTGTCGATGTAGCAGAACACAACTGATAATAATCCAATAGATCGCTGCGTTAGCAGCACTATCCTTGTGTTGGTAAAGCAGACCACTTTCTAGTGGTTCACTATAAAGTACAATGTGTTCAACCTCTATGGTTATTTAATTATTATTTCACCATATGTTTTTATTTGCTTTCTTTAATAATATTGTCTTGTATTTAGTTCAGTATTGAGTCCACAATGACCTCTACACAACAAATGAAAAAGAAGCTGAAATACCCAAGAGTTTGATTTCTGTAGAAAGTGAAGAAATTATAGTTGATAACAGTTTTACTGATGTAAATACTAGGCAGACTAACATGAAATATTTTTTAAGGAACAGAAAGGTCATAAAGAAAGCATAAGACTACAATCTAATACCAATTCCTCTAATGTGGGCACTGCTGACACACAAGCACTTAAATTACTAAGCATTTTACATTGCAATATTCAAGGGATAACCCAGGACAATAAAATCGATGAAATAAATCTTTACATAGATTCATTTAGAACAAAACCTGATATTGTTTGTTTCTCTGAACACTGGGTTCCATCTACATGCCAAATTCCACTTTTTCAATTCGATGGGTATCAATTAGCCGGTTCATATTGCAGAGAGAAACAAAAAAGAGGTGGGGTTTGTGTATTGGTTAATAATAATTACAGTATTAAATTAAGACCGGATCTTGGAAACTTTACGGTTGACTGTTATTTTGAGTGTTGTGGTGCTCAGATCACGCACCCTCTTGATTTAATTGTGCTTTGTGTCTACAGACGTACCGTGTATACCAAAATTGCATATGATATTTTTTTTCTAGCTTGCGTTCACTTTTACAATATTCTATTCTTAAGAATCCTAAATCTTTTTTTATACTTACAAGAGATTTTAACATTGATATTTTGAAAAATAGTTCTCAATCTGAAGAGTTTCTTTCAATATTAAATTCTTTCAAACTTTTTACAACTATAAAGGTACCCACTCGGGTTTCAAATGTTTCTAGTACATGTATTGATAATATTATAACTAATTTAAAACCTAACTTATGTTTGCCTCCTGTGGTACAAAATGGTTTATCTGATCACTTAACTCAATATCTTCAAGTGAATTGTGAATATTTTACTAAGAAACATATAGAAACTGTGGTTAACAAAAAAACAATATACGTAAGACATTTTTCTAAAGTTAATATCTCCAATTTTGTCAATTCTTTAAAATCGGAGGATTGGTCTTACTTCTTTCAGAAATTGAATGTAACATCTGATGCAAATACTATTTATAAGTGTTTTTTACATATTTTCAAACTACATTTTAATGCATCTTTTCCATTAGTTAAGGCTAAAAATAGTCTTAACCGGAATAAAGATAAAGGTTGGCTTACAAGTGGGATAAAAAGATCTAGTAAACATAAACGGGAACTTTTTGAGCTCAGCAAACAATCCACAAATCTGCATTTTAAAAACTATGTTAAAAAGTACAGCAAAGTGCTCAGTAAATGTATAAGAACTGCTAAAATATTACATAATAAAAATAAAATAAAACAATCGTTCAACAAGACTAAAACTGCTTGGCAAATTGTAAAAACAGAAACGAATAATTCCGCCAGTAAAATAGATAAATTTCCATTTTTATCCGAATCCGTAAACATAAAAAAACAGTTAAATTATGTTAACATATTCTTTACAGAAACTTGCAAAATTCTAAATGTTAATTCTGATCCTTAAAGCTCAATAAACTTTTTACAACAAGGGGTCCGACCTAATTCCATGTTAATATCTTTCAAAACTACAGATCCTCAAGAAATTCAGCAAATAATTAACGAATTAAAACCTTCCAAATCGTGTGGATGGGATGAAATATCACCCTTCATCTTAAAACAATGTTCATCTTTTATTTCAATCCCACTTGCTCATTTAATCAACACTTCACTCTATACAGGTGTGTTTCCGGATGTACTAAAGCTCTCAAACGTGATACCAGTTATAAAAAAAGGCAATCCAAAAGAACTAACTAATTAAAGACCCATTTCATTACTGCCGACATTCTCAAAAATTTTTGAAAAGATAGTTTTTAATAGGTTGTATGATTACCTTGATAAATGTCAACTCTTCAACATGAATCAGTAAGGGTTTAGGAGGGGTAAAAGCACTGTAGATTCCATATTCAGCTTTGTATCTGAGGTTGCTGATGCTCTTGACAGGTCGCAGAATGTATGGGCGCATCCGACTTGCGCATAATCCCGGGTCACCAGCGGGGGTCGACAAATTTCAACGCACCCCAACGTCCGACTTGCGCATCGTCCAGTCAGGCAGACTAATTGGGTAATCAAGCGTAATTGACATGGTTTATACGAGTATATATGGTTACCTAGGCTGCAGGTCTGTTGCAGGGGAGGTTTTGACAATATGGGAATCAAGGAACAATCAAAACAGTTATGTTTGAAAAATATCCCTGCTCCTCACACGACATTTTTCAATTGAGAGTTTGGTTTTTAACAGAGTTGGCGTTAATTTATACTGATATTATTGTAATTGTACATGAAAGCCATTTTAAAGACTGTAAGATTTTATTTGAAATATAGAAGTTAGTTATAAAGATTACCTATGTACTTCAAGAAAATTTTGAAAATTTTAAGTATGTACAGTAATAAAATATAACGTACTCACACATATGCATAAATATTCATTTTATCGAACTGTGTTTTTAGCCTATGGGGACTTTGAAACGAAAAGTTATAATGGCCATACGCCATCGTGGTAACTACTTTATCCTTATAGGAAATCTGCTTAAACCCTGGTCAAATTGATAAATCTCTTATAAAAATTCTGAATTAGTTGGTAAATATAACAACTGTCCTTACGAATAAATTTGAGTAATTTGGCTGTAAGTTCCATTATTGTAAATAAATTTGTGTTTTTGTATTTTCTCATTTAACCCAGTATCCAATATTTTGTGTGTGAGTATATTTAAAAGAGCCTTAAACTGCTAATACTCTTTAATATATTATTATAGTGATAGTCAAAACTAGGAATATCGAATCTCAAAATGAAACACGAAACTTTAACATTACCTGTATAATATTAGGTATAAGGGAATTAGTTGTTAATTAATTGTATTATATCAATGAAATTTGTACAGCTAAACGTTGCACAAGCCGCAGCATATCAAGCATTTTTACTATCATCATAGCTTGACATAAAATTTTGTCACACAAACTTTTCTCGCTATAACGCCAAACTGTGATAAACTGTGTTTATCAATTTTCACTATATTAGCACTAGCGTGTTATATAACATTTTCTTTAACGCTTCACTGATTTTGTCGATGAATAGCCAGCGCAAGTCGGATGTACCCCTAGAGGGCCGATATAAGTGCCAGCGCAAGTCGGATGTTTGAAAATGCCGTGGCAGGTAGTTCTGCGCAAGTCGGATACTCCCGAATGGGGCCCGGGTCTCTTCTGTGACCTGTCAAGAGCGATCGACTGTGTAAACCATAATATACTGATTCGGAAGTTGCAGTTTTATGGTATATCGGGCAGGACCAGTAAATGGTTGGTTTCATTTCTATCCAACAGAAAACAGTGTATAAATTTGCAGTCACTGGGAATTAAATCTGATTATAGATTAATCACAGATGGTGTACCTCAAGGGTCCATTCTTGGACCCTTACTCTTCCTGGTTTATGTCAATGACCTTAAATTCTCGGTATGGGACTTGCCCATGACCTTAAATTCTAAATTGGTTATGTTTGCTGAAGATACTTCTGCTAACTTCACCCATCCAGATAAATCAATATTTCCACAGCTTATAAAACAAGAATTCCAAAAGCTGGAAAGTTGGTTTCAAGCTAATGGACTTTTACTAAATCAATCCAAGTCTCTTTTAATGAACTTTAAACAAAATTATTTTAATAACAATTTTTCGCACGAAAACACCACTCTATCTTGCAACCTTGCTAACTCCACCAAATTTTTAGGAATAACAGTAGATCATAAATTAACCTGGAAAACTCACATAACAGACGTCATCAAAAAGTTAAATAAAGCATATTTTGTAACTCTCATTCTTTCTAGATCAGTTAATATTTCCACTCTTATGATAATATACTATGGATATCTTTATCCTATTCTCAATTACGGAATTATTTTTGGGGGAAATTCCGACAAAAATAAAAAAGTTTTTAAATTGCAAAAAAGAATAATTAGAACAATTTATTCTATCAAAGCTAGGGGTTCTTGTAAAAATACATTTAAAAGCAATAATATCCTTACTTTTCCCAGTCTGTATATCTACAATTTATTAATTTTTATGAAACAAAATATTTCTAAATTTTCTGTTAATTCGGACAATCATAATTATAATACCCGACACAAAAGCTGCCTTTTATACCCTAAACATAAATCCTCAACTTTAGAATCTTCTCCCCACTACTCTGGTGTTAAGTTTTACAATAACCTGCCTGATTCGATTAAATCTGCAGCTTCCCTTAAGTCGTATAAAAAACAGTTATTTAAGTTTGTATGTAGTAAATTTTAGTAGTTTTTATGTAAAATTTAGTATGTAGGTAAAAGATTTTTTCCACTGACTCTTGTACATTAGTTTTAAGATATTTGTTTTATCACGATTATTGTATTGACGCTATTTATGTATATTGTGTACTAAATGAATAAAGGATGATTTGATTTGATTTGATTTGTGTCTTGATGAGCAAAGTAAAAATAATCCATTTCCTTAATTTTCACTGTGATTTATTCACCTTGTATGATTTTATATGGCATGTCCTTTATTTTTTATAAAGATAAGATACCGTAACTGATAGTTACAATGAAAAAGTGATTCATTATATTATTTATTTACTGAAACATAACTATTAGCTGATTTTACAACTTGTACAGAACTATCTTTTGTTGTCCATTATGGCTTCACCAGGGTAGACGTCCTGCAGTTTGGTGTCCTTGTTGTCCTGAGTCCTGAGTAGTCGTCTAGCCTCACACACTGCAGCAGCTCTCAGCTCACTCTGTCGACATATATACATATCTTAAACTTATATTATGTATATCAAAATCAACTACGACTATAATAGTTTGGGAATTATAGTTTTTTGTGTTTTATAACTTTTATTAGCAATCACGTTTGACTACCAAAAATTTACGTTTTTATAGTATTGCATTGTCTTTTACTAATGTTTACCTTCTACATTCTCCCTTTTATGGAGAATAATGTGCTACTTTCATTAAGTAATTTATTAAATCGCATTATGAAGTTGTTGTCTAAAAAACAGTGTATAATGCACAACACAAGAGTTTTCTTCAAGGTAAGGATCACTCGATACACAACGCTACAGGAGAGAGACTTAGGTCAAGTAAGGTGTTAGATCCGTTGAAACGCCAATATATCTTATCATCCAAACGTAGCAATGTTTCAAGTGGTATTGAAGGTAGTTGTAATGTGATACTTTCTAAACAAGAAATTGACATCCATTGCTGCTGTCTTCGTGTGAATTATTTATAAGTTAGGGAAAGAAGTTCATTTTGTAGCAAACTAACTCTTGAGGTGTTACATGTCAAGAACATTAGTGATACTTTTATATTTTAGCTACTATTCTGTTACTTGTAAAAGTAGTAAAAAATACCCTTCCTTGTTAAGCCTGTTTTTTGCTGTTGATGTCAAGAAATATTTGAAATTAATTTCTGGGTGTGATTCAAGTACCTAAAAACATCAACTGTTTATAGAATTGTTAAAATGTACGGAAACTGGATCCATTAAAAACAAAAAAAAACTTTGACCTACAATACATACTCTATTTGAGCTTGCGAAAAACATATTGAGTCTTATTTACAATACATTATCAATAACACTCAACCTTATAGATCTACGCACCATTTAGCTGATCGACAATGAAGTATAGAAAACAGGGTTACCATTATGGGCTGTTCAACGTGTCTAAGATGGTTGTAATTATTTAGGTTACGTTAAAAACACCCTGTACGTGTATATGTACACTATGAGTTACCATGAGAGTGTGGCAGATGGCTATGGGAGGAGGCATTGAGTCAGGACAAGTCAGGGCCCCGACCGAGGAGCGCTTTCCATTCTTCCAGTCCCGCGAAAATGTGATCTGAAAATCAATTAAGCTATTACAATGTTGCAATGAACAATAAACATCGAGTAAGTATTCTCCTCTTAAGTATATAAGAAGAGTTGTGTTTATCCTGGGCTATATTTTATTACCAACATATATTAATTAGAATTCCACTTTAAAATGGTGCAAAAAGATATCTACACTATTAAAAGAATTTGTTGGATTTTTGTGTGCAGCAAAGCGACCTCTAAATATTTATTTTTATAGGTATGTTGGGTATCAATTTAAAGCTCTTTTCCTTTTGCGGGTTTGGATTATATCCCGTGAATGCCCTTCGACCTATAGACTTTAAAAATTTACAGTTTGTGCTAAACTCAACTGTCAATCATCTGAACTTTTCAAGTTTACATTTGTTTACGTCAAAACAGATGGCCATGATAAAATTTTTTTTACATCCATACGAAAATGGGGTTATCTGTAGTTGGTGATGTTTCAGTGAATTTAAGTAAAATGTTGTAATGTCTTTTGTATAAAAATGTAAAAAAGATAATTACTTACGTTAAATTTTGTGTTGATTTTGTGTTTTCATAGTATGGTTCATTGGTATTTATAATTTCTCTATGATACTTGGAAGAGATCGCTCACGCAATGAAAATAGGAATATGATGAGAAATATTCGTTTTCACCCTTATCGACGATTATAACAAATATATCACGGATTTTGAAGTAACGAAGTGACGCAGGTTGCTAGTATACATTATTTTGTACTTTACCTTTGGTCATGACTATGTTTAAGTAAGTTTACTTATATAATTAAAAGGTGTACTAGATTTTATAAAATTAAAAAATATCAAAGTAAAAATATGAAAAGTTTAGAAAGTCAACATTCTTATAAGATCAAAAACTTGAATGAATTAAAATCATCAAAGAAGATAAGTATGGTTTCATGGCGATAAGTGTTTTATAAAACTAAATGAGTTAGCATAGTAAATATTCTAGTTTTCACATTATTTAAAACTTGTTAACAAAACATGTATTACTCTATACGTTATCATAAAAATGGCTTAACATCCTGTGTTAAAATAAAAAAGGTTGTATCTCAAGATTTTCATGTTTCTTTTTCATCGTAGGGTTCTTTTAATTGCCCACAATAGTATGTTATTCTTTATAGGACACCTATAAACTCATTAAGTTAAAGTTTTATTATATTAGATTTAGGTTTGCAAAGCTAATGTCCATTCAGTTTGAACATTTTCGAATAAAAGCAAAGACATTAGCTGGAAATTCTGGAAACTCAGCATACATAGCTCAACATATCTATTACATTTAAATATTTAAATAAAATAGTATGTTTTAAAGACATCAATATATACAGCAAAAGTTAGAGTCCTTTGTTTAGTTTTATACTACCAAAGTCATTAAGTTATAAAGTTGTTAATAGTTAACCCCCTTCTCTAAAAACGTTTAGAAAAACCAATGAACATTTCCACAATTTATCCTATGTTATTTTTACGCTATTTCTTTTCCATTATAGTTTAGTTACTAGTTACTAGGAGGTTGACGAATTGCATTGTAATGAAAGTGTTATTTTACAAATATATTGACGTTGTTAAGTAAATAAAACAAAAAACTTTTTTTACAGTCACCCGACAAAGTTGACTACCGTGCACTGATTATAATACAAAAAGCTGCTAATTGCTGAATTTACTTAATTTGCTGCACACTTTTTTCTTTGGTCGCACACCAGTATTCCAACCAAACAACACAATACATCGTGCTTATATTATGCACGTAATCCGTGTATGCTTGGAAATAGGTTGGCAACACTAAACATAACTGCAACTATTTATCATTTAAAACCCTAAGTCCCCACTGAAAACATATTGAACTGTCGACAGGGAGCCAATCGATGCCACAATGAACCTATCGAATGGAAGTTTGACAACCAATTTAAGTACTAAGCTGGTTATGTCAGAAAATAGATTATTCCCCCATAACTTCATATAGATATCACCATCTATCAAAAGATAATTTTGTGAATAGGGTAATTGAGAATTTAATACCTAACTATAATTGTTCAAGTTTATTGTATTAATGTTTCTTGCTTTCACAATTTATTTCTATGATTTTTTTTAGTTTTACAGGGGAATGCTACAAAATTTAAAATAGTTTAAAATTAGGAAATTGAAAGAATTTATATTCACCTGAGCATTAGTAGGAAGAAACTGCATGAAGATAGTTTTTTTTTTTTTTTTTTATCCTAGGACGCTAGGCACGAGCCTGGGATTGTTTTTCACATTACTTCAGGCTAGACCTAGGGGTTGCGGCATTATCACTTAGATAAAATCCATTGGTGACTTGGCGGGGATCGAACCCGGGACCACACGGACCGAAGTCCCGCGCTCTAGCCACTACGCCAGCTCGCTCCCCAAATAGTTTAAAATTGGGAAATTGAAAGAATTTATATTCACCTGAGCATTAGTAGGAAGAAACTGCATGAAGATAGTGAACACCACCAAGACAACCAGAGGCAAACTTTGTCTGGAATAAAAAAATATCATTTTAATAAAAACACACTTAACAACCAAATGTAAAGCTTTAAACGTCTTATGTATGTAACTTTTGCTTTTAAAAACATTTTAAATGAGTAAAAGAAAATAGCAAGTAAAAATCTTATGATTTTTTTGTTTTTTCTTGTTTTGACTTGTAAATATAAGTTGTGCAGGTGTATTAGGCCTATACTATCAAGTCTTCAATTACTGTGTCAGTTAAGTAGAAACCCAAAGTCTATTAAAATTTACTTTACTTTTTTGTGTATGAGATTATTCATCGGACGATCATATTTGAATTTGAAGTGAATGGTAAGTATTATTGTTTGTCAAAGCGGGAACCATATACATACTTTGTCGATCCTTTGCAGAAGTATTATTATGGTAATGATATTTCCGTGGCCAATATGAGTAATGAATGGTCAAAGATGTCATTATTAGTTTTTCACGTTAAATAGGATTATTCCATTATTACTAACTATTATTATTGTTGTTGAGTTATGTAGTAAAAAAGTATGAAAAGTGCTTGAACCGTTTCCTAGCATTGTATCCTGACCACTGCATGTTCATATCTTATGATAAAATAAGTCAATAAGAGTTATACGTGAACAAATTTTGACCATATAATATTTACGTCATATTTTCGACTAATGTTACTAAATAATATGGATAATGACATCGAACTATTCTAGTGCAACACCCACCTAAGTTTTAAAGTTGCAGATTTAAAGAATGTTTACTTTGAATGCAGAGATATATCATAGACGACTCTTCATAAAAATATTTTCACATTAAAAACAATTAATTTAAATGAATTTCCCATCAATACAGCAATGTGTGAAAATAACATCTCATCAACAGAATTACACACTGTTTTTACGATAATAAGAACAGTAAAACTTGCATATACTCGTATTGAATTATACAATAATTGTGGTTAATATTGAGCACCGGACGATAGTAATCCCACAGCTGCATTTCGTACGGTGTAATAGTTTCACAGTTTCCAGCGTGTGCAGAACCGGTAATTGTTAAAATTCCAATGAGTTAATTAGATTAGAGGTGCCATGAAATTAATCGGTTCATGTGTCCAAGCTGAATACAAAACCATGTACACGATTTATAATCGTATGATATGATAGATTCTTTAAGAAAAATAAAACCTTAAAGGCAACTAACACCTAAGTAGACAAAATTTGTTGAGGATTGCGAAAAATAATTTATGCTAAGCATAATTGAGCTCAATATGTATACTAAACAATTTTAGAGGACCATAATTTATCCGTCGAATAAATTACATTACTACACTATGGTGCTGTTTAATATTATTTTTGGAAAAAGCTTATTTTCTTGTATTATTTTTTATGGTACTACTATAATAATGCTGTGTAGTTATTTTGTAATTTATATTCTGTAATTTGTAATGTAACTTTTTTCTTTACAATTAGAGCCCTATAACAAAAAATTTAAATCAAATAATATGAAAGCGTACAAAGCACATACTACAGAGAGTCTGGGGTCTGGGAAGCTGAGTGTATATAGTGATTTCCTTAAAATCTGAGGGCTAGTTGGTTTGATTTCAAGCGGGATCAATACTTAACCGACCAAGATGTCATTTTTGTCATAGGACTGTCAATTAATGTGCTATCTTAAAAAAGAAGACTTTAGATGAAGTCTTCCTTCATTATAACCAAGAACTGGGTTTGGACCGTTCCTAATAAAAGATGCGAAAATTTCTATAGCATTGAAAACAATGATACTATACAATAAAGAAAACATAAAACACATGTGAGTGTGCTGTGTTACCTAGTGCGAGCCATGCTGTGTGGTGTGTGGCGGCGGCGCTTACCGAGATGTGTGACTGAGAAGTGTGTGCCTCACCTATATACAGCATCACTCCCACATGGCAACCCTACCATCACAACCCCGGGCGTGGACATAACTACCCATCATACCAGTCCTGCACCTCAAGGCACTCAGCCCTGATCAAAGAACTCGTGATTGGCCAGCTTTGCAAGAAATTGATTGGAAATATTTGTGGCTTGGAGGCATTCTGTTTGGATTAAGTGTGGAAATATGAATCTGCGGATGTTTACGATTGGTTACAGACAGATTTGGGTAAATTACTTTTTAAACGTAGAAAGCTATATTTGCAACATCCTGTAAGCTCAGCCACACTATAAATACTTTTAGTAAAAAAAGTAAACATACATCGATACTAACGTAGTTTTCCAACAAAAATCATTGTATTTTTGCTTTCTTCTATTTAACATAATCTCTAATTCAATAACTAAATTACATTCATCGGGAACTGTATTTATCATACGTACTTATGTTCAATATTATCTCTTAGTATGAAAATTGTAATTTAAATAGCCACAAATCTACCAATAATTTATTTAAGCTTTTGGTAAAACTAATAGCAAATAGAATTAATAAAAGCAAATAGAACTAATATACCATACCCATCAACAATGTACGTTTGGTTTTCAAGGTAGACCCCTGGGTTGTCATAGCTCCATGTTCATATATTTATAACTTATCCTTATAGCAGACTAGACTTATCTTGCCCATAATCAAAAGGTTAGAGATACTACTCGGCTATCTTGAATGGACACGTGGAAATACAATGACCATTTACCGATATTATATTATTTAAAAGTCTGCTAACAAATACAATCCACGAAAGTTGTATGGACAAACTGAATCCCATCTTGCATTGAGCCTGTTAATCAGAGTCTGTCAATTTATGAATAAAGATTAAAGCTTTACATTATGCTTTTACTGTCGTGGTCTTACTCAAATAGCTGTCATCAAACCTTTATATTAAAAAAAGGGCAAAGATTATAAACAATACTTGTTGAATAATTTCTACATAGCTAAGCAATAACTGATAGTTCGTCAACATAATGGAAAACACGTTTTACCATCCCAAAATGTCCTTTGTTAATATCAAAAATTTTTGCAGCAAAATTTCGATTCAAAATAATTAATTTAAAATATCTTACATTGTGTAAAAGTAGCTAAAAACCATAACGTAGTTAACGCCAAAACTTAACTAAACATTTGGCGATTTAAATACAAACTACTTCTTGTTAATGTGTAAAAATTATACTGTTCTATAGTTAGTCAGCTCTTGGAGTATGCAAGGCCAGTATGGCTACCCTACCAAATTGACCATAATGAAAGGTTGGAAGCAATCCAATGGAGATTTCTGAGACTTGTTGGTTTCAAATATAATTTCCCTATTTGATTTTCAGACACATTGTTTTCTTTTTTTAAATAATGACCATAATCTTGGACAGAACGTGACTTTAACATATTGACATTGTCCATACTTAAGTTCCAGGCATTATGATGATTTTAGAAAATATTCATTTTATACGAAACAAAACACCCTAAATGTACGTCGAAAGCAACGGATTAAAATTAAAGTACATTTATTAAAGCTAGGCTTTAAAACCACAATAACAAAGTTCTATGAAAAGTCACTATTCATAAAAAAAAAACCAAGTTCAGGATGGAAGTATTCCAACCTGAGCTGCCAATCTGCTGGGTCTCGATAGTTAAATGCATTCTCAACTGACTGTGAGTTTACAAGTGCGTATTTACGAAGCAAAGTTAAATAAAAATAATGCGTTTTCATAAATAAATAGAGTATTTAATTGCATTTACGTATCTCGGCCATCGATCTCGGCTTCGCCTCGCACGTAAACTTGGTGTTTCTCTTCGGTCGTTTGACTTTGCCTCACATGAAACTTGAGCGCGCGTGCCGAAATGATCATGAAATAATGGAACAAGTGACGAAGAAACTTTTTTTAAACATTTAGTTTTTCGTTAACAATTTAAAAACTAAAAGAAAGTTTATGTTAAGTGTGCGGTTTTCATTTTTAGTAACACTCACTCCTTGGGTCAAACTTTAAATTAACGTTTTGATATTTTGAAACACCATAATCTCCTTTTGGTTTTAGACCATTCATTATCATTAAAAATCTACTTCACAACGTACATGGTTTCTAGATAAATACTGTATCTAGAAAATATTAATAAATACTTCGTCACTTACTTGATTTTGTTCAACATCTTGTACTTTGGTGCAGTCCGTAAACTTGTTGTACAGTACTCCTCTTCAGGTTTTCCCGTGTTTCCTCTGGTGGAAGGCTTTTAGTTTATTTATTTTTTATATTACAGAATACAAATTCCACTTATATTGCAGAACTATCATAATTTATACACAACAAAGAACATGCCATGCGTTCATTAGTTATCTCTGACAAAATTTTTTTCCATAAAATGATCAGGAATGTTAGACACATTTTGAGCAATTCTAAACACATATGATGCTATTTCATGAATATTGCAACAATGGTTGATCATGTATGTTATCGAGATGGCCAGCAAGATCATACACCAAATGGAATATGCTGTTACTAACGAAGGGCGACACGTAGAATATGTTTTTGCTTAGTTAAGTAATTGTTTATAAGCTTTGTGTTTTTAGTAAACTATTAATCATTTATATTTGGGTTTCTTCTTGTTGCACCCTGTATTTAGCTTGTCCAAAAGTAAAAACAGCTGATTAAAATCATTAGAATTGGCTGTAATAAAACACTGCGTAGTGGGTAAATAATTGAGAACTAACCAAGGGCGAGGGGTAGTCAATTTATAGCGATGGAAAATCAGCTGATCGTTTTACCCTTGATCTAAATTTGAGCTTGGGAAACAACTTGTTTCCCAAGCTCAACCACTTTCTTTTATATCAGCTGTTATCGAAAATTTCTACATTCGGTGAAGAATGGTGTATTTTCCCTCTGTGCTCTACATTAAATCACCCACGAAGCAGTTGACAGTACAGCCGCCAGGCTGCACCACAGTATGTGTGTAGACAATACCGCCCCTAGCAGTAAACCCTACAACTAACTAATATAAAACTGCTGATTGGCTATAGGTATTGCATTGTTGTACACTATAATATTATATATATATACTGTATATATATATATATATATATTATTTTATATACTCATTCAAATGTGGTAATGATAAACCATGCAAAGTTGTGTGATCTGATTAAACACTCATCCAAAAATAAACCCCAAATTCATTTAAACGCAAAATCAAAATCATAAATACGTTATTATGAAAAATGTTAGCAACTAACTGTATCTAGTCAAAATTGTACAAAGGGGCGAAATTTACAATCAGTTTGATCATTTTGAAATGTATTAAATAAATCCATGTTTCCATGTCCATGTTTTAAATTACTCAAAATTAATGGATAATTTGTAATCCTCTAACTAGAGCCCTGATTTTTCATAGATATAACACGATTGTGGTAAATATTTTATATACCTTTAGATATACATATAGATATAATATGCATATAATTCGTTTTAACGTAGGGCTTTTACATTTTGAGCCGAGAGTTGATAAACCTCTGTAGGCAAGGAGTATTTAAATATACTCTTGGTTGAAGTGTTTATTTTTCATTAATCCTTGAAGCTATAACGTGTAAAATGAACAATACAGAATTCACCATCAGAATATTTGGACTGCATATGATTTAAAAGTCGCTGTATTGTGGCACCTTGATTATGTAAAATTAAACAGCTGAAGTGTTTCTCTCTATTGGCACACTCTCGATTGTAAGTTAACAATTGTGTTTATACTCGCGAACAAGCTATCATCAACAATTGAGTCTTGTAATGGGTACAAACATATTACTGTACTTCTTAATCAGCATAATACGAGTTATTAATTTGACTAAAGAGTAAATATAAATACGAATAATAACACTTAAAACATATATTTACACTTTTACTGTTTTAAAATCACGGTAAATATATTTCATTTCATTCATGTCATTGGCCTATCGAATCTGAAGATAATTGGTGTGTCCAATCGAAGTAGATCACCATTACCATCTGTTATAAATATTTACCGAATTGTTTAAAACAGTTTAAGTGTAAATATATGTTTAAAGTGTTACTAGACGTTAGACGTATTTTATTTACACTCCGTACATTTACTACAAACAAAACGTGTCTATTCGTCAACAACTGGCAACAGACACATTATTTATGCCAACTCGATTCCTACAGTTTTGTATAACGTAAAATAAATATTGATCATACATTAAAATATGTCGAATTTTTACTTATACATACATCTACTTTATACACAGGAAAACTCTGTTACCATTACTATGACTATAAGTCTATAAATTATTTTTTAAACATTGGAATTTAGTTTTTTAACATTTAATAGTTAAATGATTGTTTATTTGTTGGTTTGACTCAAGTAAATCAGAATCCTGAAGTAACTCTATAACTTGATGGATTACATGAGGAGAAGGTAGTAAGAAAGTAAGACTGAAAGACGGAGAAATGGTGATAGTAGGGGATGGTTGGGGGGAGAGTCGTTATGACAACAACAGTGTTAAACGATCTCGCGACGCCGATCGCTTAATTCTGTTGTTCAACGCGTTTTAACCTAATAATATTTCAACTGCTTAACTTTTCCTCATTACAATCAGAGCTTACAAGATAAAGTTTACTTATCACCTAGAATACCAGCTAAGCTATTAAAGCATTGCGTTGTTACACAAAATTGTCTGAACAGTTTTTGGTATAGAAGTATGTTTTGTAAATCTGTCTTAGCAACTAAGAACTTGAATAGTTTAACGTGTGCTTGATAAAAATAATAGTTTTTTTTCGGTTGAATTTTGAGTTATAGTAATTGACGCTTCTAAAGGAAAGCGGTCCAAACACCATAGGCAATACAATACAATACCCAAATACAATACACAGTACAAATTGTGAACAAATAGTTAGGTGCCT